GTAGTGTGTTGCGAATTCTCAAAACCCTTTAAAAAAAAAAAAGTGCCATCACATTTACAGGATTTGTTTAGGTGCTTTCCTTTTCTTTAGGCATCGTTTTTCTCTCCTCTTTCTGGATTCTGTTAAGCTAGATCTATTAGAGAATGGCCCTTGGATGCAGGAAAGTTTTCTGGAAACGAATGTGTGTATGTTTGCAGGATGTGTGGGTGTGGGGGGGTGTGCATGTGTGCGTGTGCACGTGTGTGTGAAAACAGTTCTTTGTGCACACACATACACACACATACTCACAGCTTTTTTTTACATTAAAATTGTCCTAAGTATGCCATGGCACTGTGAGGGGGATCCCCTGGGTCCTTTTGACATCTCCAACTTAACACTGAGCTTAGAATGTGCCCTGGGTATTTCATAAGCAAGAGTTGACCATGATCAGCAAATACAAGTTTGTTCGTTAAATGCTGCTACTGCTTCTTGCATTTAGTGTGATGAAAACAATGTGGTTAAAATGGATGAAGGATAGATTTGTGTGTGATACTTAGGAGGAAGTTTTGGGGGAGCACCTTGCTAAAATGTCTTGGCTAAGTTCTTGGCACATTGTTGCTTAAGAGGAAGTGTTCTAATGCAGAAACAATGGGTCTGTGGTTATTTCCCCATTGCTGTAGCTGAAGGTTTTACTGTCGAGTTTTACCATATACTTCTTTTGTTAAAAAAGGATTTTTCTACCTACACCAGTCTTTCATATTGACCAATAGAACTGTGGTTTGCCATTTATTTAACCTTTGGTCAGTGGAGGAGATTTATGAATGGATAAGTAGCCTTATGCCCCTTGTATGTGCCTGTTTCCCTCCCAGGCTGTGTTTAGCTCTTAAATCAATGAACGTTTAGATAGTAATCAAATACGTTTATCAATTACATTGAGACAGTCATTAAGTAAGCACAGGCAGGTCAGGCAAACAGCAGACACTACTGAGGGATGCTAGTGCAAGCAGTTCGGGCCAACGACATGAAATGTCTCAGATAATCTTATGCGGACAAACACTTGTATCCTAAGAGCTTGCACAATCAGTTCTGCTAAAACTTTGTGTCAGTGGGGAAACTGTGCTTCTTTTAACCTACATAAGGGGAAAACAATGCCTGTAGTTTCTGTACTTCAGACACTGCTCTATGGATTTTTTTTTTTTAAATGAATTGCTTGAACTTTTCAAGCTTATGTCACATAAGGTCAGCAGAGCATGGACTCTATGCCTAGATGAGTGTCATCTGCACTCAGGCTTTATTATACATTTTTACAGAGGTCCCAGGAAGTCCGGCGTAAGCAAGAACAAGGTCAACATTCCTAAAGTGAATTGATTCAAAATCTTTCCTCATAAGACCTCACTGCTGAGACTTCTGTAATGCTTTGTCTATATTTTAAAGAGCTTTTGCCTTTCACACTAATTTTAACAAATAGTTAAAATGGCATTGCAATTTGCTGACTCTGAATCTACAGGAAGGAATCTATCCTAGAGCCTATTCTTGGCAGAAATATTCCCATTAACAGAAGATCCATTCATGCCTGAACTACTCTCTGATTCTGTAAGCTTCACACTAAAAGCTAGTTTGCGGTCATAACTTCTTCTGCATGCATAACTTCTTCTCTACTTGCAGTTTTATCATATTTAACTCCAGTATGATACTACGTGGATTATCTTCTTTTCCTTGTTTGCATCTTTTTCAATATTTCGGAAAGAAAATGCTAAAGTAATCTATTCAAAATATCAGAATGTAGTGTACTCCAACAATTCAGAGCCCTTTACCAAAAATATCTCCACAGAAGAAACCAGCGTATGGTAGGTTATTCAGTTGCCCATTCCTTACCCACAAAGAGACTCATTTTTACTTACCAGCCATGCTTCCTTGCTCCTCTTTGTCTTGGACTTTGTATTTCTGTGAGTAATTGTAGGGCTATATGATAAGACTTCAAGCTCTGTTTGTGGCAGCATTTATAGAGAAAACTTTAGGCCTCTCCTTCTGTTCAAACCAATTATAATTCACATTAGGTGGGTGAGGCAGGTAAGTCATACCAGTGGGCCTGTAAACTTCCTAGTGACCACATATTAGCTCATGGGTTTTAACACACTGTGCTTATGCAATTCAGGTTATTTATCCAGAGGGCTGGCTGAGATGCTTAGAAAAGTAAAGCATTTAATTGCATACCTGGAAACCAGAATTTCACATACAATGATGTGTCATTTTGGAAGACTAAGGAACATTTTTCAAGTCAATATGAATGTGCATCTTTTTTCCAGCATGAGCCACAGATGAGTATACATGAAATAAAAGTATATATTCATAATAAAATTCATAGGGTTTCCTCCCTGTGAGTGTACACCTAAGTCTTTTTAAAAAAAAAAAAAAGCTTGCATTTAACTCAGCAATCCTCTTTTCAGGATCACCACAGTGATGCCTTTGTATGAGCCCCTCCCTAGAGTCTCTGTAAATTAATAATAATGCTATTAACGCTATAAATGACATTAATCCAAGCTGCTCTTAACCTGCCAAACTGAGTGCTGAATAACCCCAAAGAATGTAACTTAAGTGGTGATACTCCCTGCACAAAGAGAAACTTCACAAAATTAAAGAAAATGTTAATTTTGTAACAGGTAAAAATTAGAATTACAATTTGTGCTTTTATAGTGGCTAATCGTCTAGTTGTTTTGGAGTATAAAGGTGCACATTAAAAGTTAAAATACTTCGATCTGCCCATTTAGTGCATTTTAGCAAAAGAAAATGAATTTGTTGGCATGGCCTCACAGTGTTTCTCTTTTTTTTCACCTTACTTCTCCCTTTTTCCTGTTACCTCTCTTGCTATTTGATCACAGATCGATCTCTCTTTTTCTGTAAGAGCTTCCATTTCCTTTCATTTACACAAATAAGGCATTTTGTCTCATTTTATTATTACTTCACTTCACTTATCGACAGTGAGGAAAAGAGGCTGAAGCAATCTCAGGAATGTTAGGGTTTAGCTTGAAGAACTTGAAGGGTGGAAGTTTCATAAGATCAGAAACTGGCAAGCATAATACCTATGTATAAAATAGGGGAGAGGCATGAGGAAGAGTTGAGAAATTATAGACTGATTTGATGTCAATTCCTGGAAAATACTGGAATAGATAAACTCCTTGTGAGCAGCTAGCAGATGACTAACAGCTAGCATGGAATTGCCAGAAGTCAGTCAAACCCATCTAATTTTTTTTTCTTGACAGATCAATATGCCAGAGAAGTGAGCAGGTGTCATACATATTGACTTTGATTTGCCGCAAGGTCCCACAGGATATTTTCATAAGCACACTTCAGAAACACTGATTACACAAAATTTCTAAAAACTGTGTAACTTGCTGGGATACAACAAATGTTGATTTGTTTCAATGGTTTACTTGTAAATTGGAAGGGCATAGTGACAGAGGTGTCATTAAAGGCTGTCTTGGAGTGTTGATGTTTCTTAAATTTGCTCTTTCTGGTGTTGGTAAGATTTCAGCTGTAGTACCATGTCCAGCCTTGGGCACAGCACCTCAGCTGGAGCATGTCAAGAATATAGAGGAGACTGAAAAGCTTAAAGTAAAATTAGAAGGATCAAAGAGACTGAAAAGCTTAACGTAGAATTAGAAGGATCAAAGTGGACCAATCTAAAAAAGAGGTAACTGGGGAGAGATGATGATGATAATTTTTTTAAAATGTGAAAGGGGGTTATAGAAGGAGAAGAATAAATTTTCAGTAGCCTCTGTGGGTCAGTCAAGGAGTCATTGGCTTAAAAAAAACAGAAAAAGACAATAAGGTTAAACATGAAGAAAAAAATGTTAATGGTAAAGATAAGCGCTCCACTAGACTTTCTAGGTAGGTTGTAAAAATGTTCATCATTTTTCCACAGGGATTAATAATGGACTGTCAAGGATAAAGGATGTATGTGTATGTGTGTGTATCTACATGGTCAATCTTGTCTTGAGGAATTTATTTTGGAGTCAAAGCTGTGGCAGTGACACTTCCCCCCCACCCCCACCCCCGTTACGTACTCTTGGTCCTGGAAGTTGACCTATATGATGTGGGGAGGGCCTTAAGATGTTATTTTATCCAGTTGAAACTAGCAATTTGCAAAAAAGTCTATCATCTGTGTACCCTCAATAAGTTATCTTGGGCTGATCCATGGATCAGCCTACATAGGGAGACTGTGTAGTCTGCATCACTGTTGATTCAATCTTGTTTGCCTTGCTACTGCTCCATTGCTGTGATTTACCCATACTGAACAAACTTCACATTGTGTCCTACCATAAAAGGTTACTAAATTCCCGAGTAATATGACACATAAGTCCGTATATTTCTTGCATGTCATTTCTACATCTTAAGAAACACTTTTCAAAGAAGTAATTGAATGTTTTGCATAGAAATAGAGGAATGTCAGCACTGTATCAGACCAGTATGGCATCCAGTTGAGATTCCTGTTTCTGCCAGTACAAGCCATCCCCCAAGAACCATCAGGAAACCAAAGAGCAGTCTTTCTTGATTATCTTGTGAAGGGAAAGCCTGCCCTACTTTCTGTCACTTGGGTACTTCTTACCTGAAACGGGTAATTTATCTGTTTATATATTACCCTAAAATAACCATGTTTTTTTTCCTTACCCAGAAAAAAAGCTTCCTCATTTTTAGAATCTGTTAAAGTTCATGACATTTTGTACCTTAGAGCAACGAGTTTCACATGCTAATTATGAGTTGTGTAAATAATCTTCTAGACATTTCCTTTCCTTATTGAAGATTCACTGGTTCTTACACTGTCAGAGTTAAAAGGTTATCATGTCTGTCCTTCACTTATTGTTCAGTATATTGCAAATGTCTATAGTAGTATGTCATTTTAATCCCCCAAATCACATAATTGCAGGCTTTTCAGTCTCTTTACAGTCTGATATCTTACTTTGAATATTTGTTACTCATTTCTGAAACCCTTTTAATTTATTTTGTATTCTTTTGATATGCAGGAACAAGAATTGAACATGATGCAGCAAGGGAGAATACACTGTTGACAAATAAGGTGACAGTGACTTTTTAGTATTTCCTGATCTATTTTTCATTGAGCTAAGTTTGGTGGGGTTTTTTTGTTTGTTTTGTTTTGCTTTGTTTTAGCATTTACTCAGCTGAGCCCACAAGACTGTATTTGTTCATCCAAGAGAAAGGAATGGTGTCGTAATGAGATATAAGGTAACAACACCCTGGAAAAGAGGTTTAGATGTGTGGATGGATTAAAAAAAAAAATGCATATTAGAAATCTTGCTAAGAGAGGCAACACTACCACTACAATAGCATTGGTATTTTGGCAGTGCTGAAGTTGTCCTAAGACTCTTTACCTGGACCTAAGAAGTGCTTTCCTTTCTGTCCGTGAATCCTTCAATTCATAGATACACATTTCCTCCTTTTAGCAGGAAATTGGGTATTTCTATATACTTTGGCTGCGCATAACTAGCATTTTTTAGGATAACTTTTCACAATTCCTCAGCTCCTTTGGCAGCAGACTAGTGAGGGCTGGACTTCAGGTCCGGCTCTAACTATAGGCAAAGTAGGAAACCAGCAAGGACAGAGGCTGCTGGGTGGTCAGCAAAATGCCTTCTTTATCTGTGTCAGAGTCCTGGAAAGCCCGACTGTTGCTACTGCTCCCAAGAAGGAGTACAGGGGTGGCAACTTCTGCGGGGCTAGGGGATTCCTCTCCCAGAAGCAGTGCCTACCGCTCCGCACCTCCCGTCACACCAGACGTCCCTCTTCTTCAGGGCTCTTTCCAAGGTTGTACTGTCTATCTGTGTTTGTTGCAGCAGATGTGGTCAGACAGGAGTTGAGTAGGGCTGTAACTAGATACTTAGGAGTTCATTGTATGTTCTGTAGAGGATACCTGAGCCTGATGGAAGGAGAATTCTTTGGAGTCCATGAGTGCCAGGGAACAGGTCATGACCTCAGAATACTGGGCTAGAGACACTCTATCATGGTTTTGAGAATGTTTTTTCCCCAGTCACAGACAGAGAATTAGCTTAAGCCAACCAAACCTGCTCTGCAGAATCTTGCACTGTACAGTGGAACTGCCTCTTCTTTAGCTCATCTTTTACTCATGACCACATCACTTTTCTCAATTTCAAATCAAAATGAAGACATTTCTTGCCACCTGTGTGGCCTCTTACTTACCTTTGAGACCATTTTGTGCTTGTTTTGAGTTCCCCAGCAGTAAAATATCAAGTCAGAGTTTAGGTGGAATGCATGACTAAGTCTAAAATAGAGCAGAATGCATTTCATCCCACACAAGACTAAATCTATCAGACTGATTGTAGTAAAGAGAGTGAACGAGCTTAGGGGAGAGCCATGGAGAACAAGAAACAGCAAGCAAAACAATAGCGTTTCTGAGGATTATTTCCAAGGTAACAGATCAGCCTTTGAATCTCATTTCAGATTTAAAGAAGCATTAAAACATGAAAGAAGCTGCACCATGTCACAGAGACTATTAGTTGGTTGATCATTGTGGATGAGGCAAAATGAAATTTCTCTAGCTGTACAAGAAGGTAAGTGCCTTCCACTGTAAGAGAAGGGAGGCTGCTATCACATGGTTGCCACCGTGAGACAAATATAACAGCAGAAACTTAATATTTTGGGCAGGATTTACTTTTAAAAGTCTAAATGCACTTTCAGTGGTGAAAGAGGGGATAAGAAACACGTTCTTATTTGCAGCTATGACTGCTTTGCAGCTATCCATTTTTTGTTCCTAAAAGCACAATAATTTCACAGCAAGAGCATCCATGGCACTATCAGCTTACCTTGAATTCTTTTCTTTTTTCTCTAAGCTAGTGTCTGTAATGAGTAGTATCCCTGTTGTATAACTGGAGAAAGAGGCAAAGATAGGTGCCATGACTTGACATCATAAATAATCTGATATCCTAAATCTAAGCCTAGCATATTACTGTTAGATCGTTTGTCCTATCTAATCATGTATTTGATGATAAAAAATACTACAATAATAGTTCCCTTTGGAAATTTTTTGAGCAAATGACCTCATAATAAATGAGACCACAGTAATATATTCTTTGTGTTCAGCACAATAACCGTTGGCATGACTTGGTGGCTACACAGGTTAAAAACAAGTAACTGATACCAAATATCCCAAAACTTTGCAACTACTGCTGTTCGTATTAACAATAACAATATCGACTACTGAAAATGATATTGCCTTTTTTTCTATTTAATTTAAAATACTCAAAAACATTCTCAGAAACAATCAAATCTGCAGAGTTTATTAATCTTCAAATTATATTTTGTATCTGAAATCTGGTTTCTAAATCTCAAATGTATTTGAGTAAGCAGCAATACTCATTTTATTGGCCCTCCCTCTTTTCAGGTTGCTCATGCTACCACAGTTTTGTGTGTGTGTGTGAGACCTTGCAAAAATGTTTAGGACACTTCCTGTAATTTCATACTCAGGCCTAGTTTTGAGAAACCAACTTGTTTTAACAGTTATTTCTTCTCTTTGAACTGTAAAATAAGAAGTTACTGGTGTAATAGCAGAAATTATAAGTGTGCCAAATCTCTTCCCTGGGGCAAAAAGGGAAACAAAAGTATTGCCTCAAAAAGACAAGCTATTGCAAGCTTGCTGTGTCCTCGCTTCCCTATATAGCTCTCCGTTCTCTAGCATGCTTCTGTAACCACTCGCTTTCAGGTTTCTATTAAAATTTTTAAATGATCTAGCAGCAGCTAATGATGTAAAATGAATATAGCAGAGCTAAGTGTGAGACTATACAGGAGGGGAAGGTGATTTTATTTTAAATAAAAGTGATTTCAGTCACTCATACCCATTCACATATAGATTTCATGCACTCAGTCTTTCACAGTTATTTTTCCATGTTCTCCTGCTCACAAGCACCAAGCTGTATATGTTTGACTAGTTTGACCAGGATCACTTGTAGTGACATGGAGGACACGTGATGCCAGTTTTGGGGTCATATTCATGTCTCCCAGATTCCTTTTGATGAGTGACCATTTGCTTATTCCGGATGTGCCTTCTGTAACCTTCAGTGACCCAGTTCTGTGAGTCACTAAGCAATATTGTTGATTTACTGCCTGTCCTTTTGTCCCCTCTTCTGGGAGTAGTTTTTCTTTTGTTTTAATCTGTTGTTTTTCCCAGTCATGTGTTTTGAGAATCTGAATGCAGATCTCAATGACCTGCTGGTGCCATCAACTCATGCCACTCTTTTGTCTCTTTTTTTCTTGTATTTTCTTCTTGTGCTTTCATACCAACATTTCTGCTCATAATTTATTTATTCCAACTTTAATGTTTCTATCACAAATCTCTGCATCAAGGAATTACCTCAGGTCCCGCAAATAAGCTAGACGAGGGAAGTATGTAGTGTCTCCAACAGCTGACAAGTTATAGAGAATATTCTGGGCTAAGTACTGTAACTATCATACTGAAATTGCCTTTGGAGGGACGTCTCTGCTGCTCATTCTGGCATAATAGGGTTTAATACCAATAGAAGTCCATCTGTGCAAAGTAATTCACTCACTTCTGTCATGAAAGGTACCTGTTTTTTTGGTGACTTTTTAGTGATCAAACTCAATGCTATGAACACATTTTTGAAGGAGGACAGTGTGATGAACCTTCTGCAATGACTGTAAATATATCACTGCTCCTTCATGTGCAATTGCTCCATTGAATCTTACCCAATAGTAACAACGATGCTATACAGGCTTTTGCAAGACAAGTTCCTGAATTTAGGAAGCACTAGCTTTGTGAGAAGTGCTGCACTGTTGTTTCACCTATAGACCTAGTTTTGTTTGAATAGTGGCCTACGGTTCCTGGCATTGTCAGGAGAGTCTCCTCCAGGACTTCAGTGCCTCCCTCCTCTTCACCTCTCCAGGAACAATCAGACATCCTCTAACAGGTGTTCATACTTTTTTTAAGGAAGAAAACCACTCTCTCTCTTCATCTTTTCTCCATCTCCATGGCCCTAAATGCACCCATCACATCATTTCATTACTTTCCTGTTTCGGTACTGCAGCCTTCATATCCCCTGACAACCACATACAGCCAGGTCCTATTGTAGGAAAGATTTGTGATTAATTCAGTTAAAACTGCATATACAAAGAAAATCTGACAAATGGTTGTAGTCAGAGAAGCATTATCTGCAGGGAATATAGAAAAGGTTTTTACCATTCATGGACAGTGCTGTCGTGGACAGACCTACAGAAGAAGAGGGGTGAAAGCGAAGTATCTGAGCCTTAAAAATCACCAGATGGGACAGGATTTAAGGTAACTTTGGGTATAACACACAATTAGCAGCACACTCAGAGATCCTTATAAAGTTACTATAATTGGGGAAAGAGAAAGCTGACAGAGGGAAAAGAAAGCTTTGTGTGAAATAAGGGTCCTTCCCATCAAACCTTAGTAACAGGGCTGCGTTTCTTGTAGCGGCGTATCCGTAACTTTTCTGGTATCAGCAGACCGCAATGGGAGGTACGGGAAAGGAATCAGGAACAGGGCTGGAACAAGGGACATAGCACTGCTTTCCCTAACCAGCTCCTTGCTTCCCTCGGGCGGTGACACCCCAGTACTGCAGCCGCTCGGCTCA